TAGAGGAGATGATATAAAACCCTAATTACCTTTGGATCTATTTCTGGGCCTCTTGGGCTATTCGGGACAAATCTGGGCCTGAACTAGGTCTGGTTGTAATATAGGTTTAGGGTTTAGCTTTGTAACTGGGCCTTCGGGTCAAATTTGAGCCTGTAAAATTATAATTATTAGCTATAATAATATAATATAGTAATATAATTATAGTGAAACCAAATTCAGACAAAAATGATTGTACACTGGTAGTTGAATGCCTTCGCTTTGAACTTGAAGGCATCTCGACATTGAGGTCAAAAAAGCTCGCAGTTGAATGCCTCCCCTTGGAACTTAAAGGCATCGTGTCAAATGGGTACTATACAAATTGTTACGTCGAGGGCATCTCCATACTCAGGTCAAAGAAATTGGTAGATGAATGACTTCCCCTTGAACTAGAAGCTTGTTGCCATACAGATTATTTGTGGAGCCACCTCGGAACATATCGTAACAAGTTTCTGATGAATGTCTCCCCATTGAAATTGATGACATGGCACCATGATGCAGATTTCCCATTAACAAGTTAACATCATTACACATTACTTGAGTTGGCTGTCAACTTGATTAGCTTGTTGAGTCAACCCATAGTGGGAGCATAATGACATACGACGAACTGTAGGCACTTCAACAAATGTCGCATACATATGTGTATCAGCTTATGATATTGATTCTGAGAATCAACCATCATAGCAACATCATCATCGTTGGAGAGTTTGAACGTTGGATAAGTTAATGGAAATACTATGGTTAGAAATCTGTATTGAAGTGCGGACAATCTTCTGGTACTTCCAACTACAGCCTTCCTTGAAATTTTAGTGAGCAACTCCTTAAGAGTGATGTTTTCCTTGAAGGATATTCTAACAGAATGATTTAATGTGAAGACGACGTCGGTTTCATCTTCCCAAATTTCTCTATTATAGTAAACAATAGTTGAAATACGCGTCGTTTTGAGAGTTTGAAAGATTGAGAGTCTTATATCTGTAAAAAAATGTTGAAATGTGCCTAATTAAATAAATAGTATATGAATTAAAATATAAACTAATAACAAATTTTAAAAATTTCACAATAATTTAAATAACAAAATTTCATATTGTTACCATATCGGTAAAATGTCTTGAGGTATGATCTCACTTTTCAATTTTACAACAACAAAAAATAATTTTAAATAATTAGTACAATAAAATTTGTTCAAATAATTAAATATAAAAGAAATATAAAATAATAAAAAAAATAATTTTACCTTATAAAAACAATAACAAAATTTACTTAGCTTGATAGAAGGAATTGATAAGTGAGAATAAGCAAGTAATTTTGGTGTAGTGATATTTGCATTAAGAGGGGTTGTTATTTTTAGGGGAGGGGGAGCATTTAAAAGCCAAGTTTTCATGGTCGGGTAATAATGAAGTACCAATAATTCAACGTGCATAATTGAAGGTGTGGATTATAATATAACCCCGAGAAGGTGTGGATGGCAATTTGTTCCTTCCCCTTACATGGCACCAGCTTGGACAGAACCCCGCGAAGGCATAGATGGCGATTCGCGCTTTATTTCTAATGTGTCAGAAAGGGTACTAGATCGGTAATATTTGGGGAGATGGTGCTTTATAGGTAATTATTGAGTCTAAGGGTGATATTTTGGTAAAAACACCTCCTTTATGTGGCATTACGGTGAGTCAAACTCGGATTGAAAGAGCAATAGTGTTGATTTAAATAAAAGTTCAAGGAGTTGAAAGGTAGGTATTAGAAGTGTTGAAACTTAAGCAAGAAGACTTAAAGACTATCAAGAAGAGATATAACTTACATTACATCTAAATAGTACACCAGTACATTTATACAACAAGAATACTTACACAACAACTTTAACAACCTTATAACAACTTCTAACAACCCTAACTAACTGCAAGTTAACTTGCACAACATGCACGCACACTTCTACTGTAGTTACTGACCATGCAACATGCACATAGCTATACAACTATGCTTCAACATTATCCCTGTCCTTTTCAATTATTTCCTTTTTTTCCACCTGCACTTTTTGACTAAACAAGACATGTGCAGACTTTGCCAAGGATTTAGTAAACCCATCAACAACTTGATGCTCTGTAGGTACATAGTTAACTTGAACAGCTCCACAAGCTACTTTCTCAAGCACAAAATGTATATCCAACTCTATATGCTTCGAACGTGCATGAAACACTGGATTAGCACTTATGGTAATGGCACTTGTATTATCACTCCATACAACTGGAACTACATCAACTACTTCACCCATATCAGACAAAAAGACCTAACCCAAACTACTTCAGCAACTATATCAACAATACTACGATACTCAACCTCTGTTGTTGAACGAGCCACAGTCTTCTACCTCTTTGCACTCCATGAAACCATATTACATCCAAGAAACACACACGATCCAGACACTAACCTACGATCATCAACATTATTAGCCCAATCACCATCAGTAAACGCAGTCACACAACAAGCTTCAGATGCAAAAGATGGTCTAAACACCAAGCCATAATCAATTGTCTCACTCAAATATCGCAATATCCTCTTAACAGCAAGCCAATAACCATCACAAGGATGATGCATATACTGAGCCACTCGATTAACACTAAATGATATATCCGACCTTGTATGACTCAAGTACAATAACGAACCAACAATGCTTCGATACATCCATGCATCTGTAAGCGGTTTTCCAGCATCACAAGTTAACTTTGGTGAAACCACCATTGGCGTAGGCGCAGACTTAGCATTAAGCATACCAGTCTGCTCCAGCAACCCTCGAATAAACTTTTGTTGGCTTAACACTAACTGTTCAAGTGACCTACTAACCTCAACACCAAGAAAGTACCCAAGCTCTCCCAAGTCTTTCAAGGAAAACTTTTTACCAAGTAGCCTAACAATCTCATTAATAGCATCATTATGCTCACCTGTGATAATGATGCCATCTATATACACCAGGACTAACATACGAACTCCACCAACTCGGCGAACAATCAATGATGCATCAACTATCGTACCACTAAACACTAGCTCCAACAAGAAATGGCACAGTTTGGCATACCACATGCGTGGTGCTTGACGCAGCCCAAACGATGCCTTCTTTAACCTACAAACCAACCGAGTCCCATCACTAGCCACTTGTTCAAACCCTGGTGGCTTCACCATGTACATTTTTTCTTCAAGCTCCCCATTAAGAAACGCATTATTGACATCCAGATGCCTTAAACTCCACCCACAAGTTACAACTAGTGACAACACAACATTCACTGTGGAAGTCTTCACCACCGGGCTAAATGTATCATTAAAGTCATGACTAGGCACTTGTGAGTATCCTCTTGCCATAAGATGAGCCTTGTGCCTTAACACAGACCCATCAACGTTAAATTTGACCTTGAATAACCATTTACAACCAACTACTGCTCGCCCTTTTGGTAATGGTTCAAAAATGACTATTCAGTTAAACGTTAGGTTATTGTTGCCTTAAAATGAAACGTTTGGGGACCGAAATTCTTCAAAAAAAAAAAAGAATAGGGGAGGCTTGATTTGAGTATTAGGCCAAAGAAAATGACCCCAATTTTTTAAAAAATATATATGATTTTATTTAAATGTCATAATTTAAAATTATGACATCGCAATTTAAAATTTCTAGCTCTGCCTCTGTTTGGTCACTCATCTTTAAAATTTTAATAGTGATATTGTGTCATCATAAGATAATGTCATATTCAGATTGAAAAATAATTAAAAAATATCATGACAACATCATTTTTTATTTTTTACGACATGTGACCAAAACAGAACTAAATCGTAAGGTTATGTATTATTTTGAAAAAAAAATAGTAGTTGAATGACCAAAATGTAAATTAAGTAGGTTACCCTAAATAAATAAAAAATATGTATGAATTATGTTAAGAAAATTATATTGGTCCACTCAATATATCTTTTTATATTTAATCTATATATATAATAATTATTATTATATTTTTAAATTAAAAATATATAAATTATTTTAGATAAATTTTATATTATATTTATATTAGCTCAACCTATATAATTTTTTTGGATTCGTCATTGACTATTTGAGCCCTAAATTTTAAGGAAGAATGACACTTCCTTCCAAAAATCATTTAAATAATTTAAATATAATACGAAATATACAATTTTCTTTTAAAAGGTTGACGAAAAGTGGTTTTATAGGATATTTTGTGAAGAAATAAAATCGTAAATATCATCAAATGTACCCCTTTCATGATTCTGCTCTATCATCTCAGTTACTCTTTGCATTTATGCGTTTTTGATTTTTTTATGGTAAACGATATATGATATATCGATCGATTAGTTCGGATCAGGTACTGTAAAGTTGAGGGCAATCATTCCAACCCAACTCGCTTCATTCGCAAATATTAAAATTCAAACTTCTAACCTTATTTAAAATATCTAATACCTCATCCGGCTAAATCAACTAAGTGCGGATGCATTTATGCGTTTGAATGATCTTTCAATCTAACGCATCAAATTCTTATAAAACGATGAACTAAGCATTTAATCAATGCCCATCAACTGCTGATGTGTCACGATAAGTATTCGTTGTCAATTGATTAAAATAATTTTAAATAAATATTATTTTATAATTATTTTAAATTATTCAAAGGAGGAATTGAAAAAGAAGAATATATTTTTAATATTCATTTCAAAGTTTTGGCAGTTGCAACTTGAAATTCAACCATATACGCCCATATATTCTATTCTACGATTAGATTAAAGATCAAAAAAAAAAAAAAAAAAGAGAGAGAGAGAGAGGAAAAGAAAGATCACTGCTACTGGTCCTCCACTTTGTATGATCTCCCAAGGTGTAGGGCAAATAGCAGTATCCGATAGAGTCAGAAAGCTAATTCTAAAACATTAAAATTAAGCAAGGGACTGTGGTGGTAATCGGCGGTGGGGGTCTAGCTGCTCTTCCGTGTGTTGGTGGTGCCGGTGGTGGCAGTGTCATCGAGGAAATCAAGCAAAACGGTGCTCTTGCATTTGGGGCATTTAGGATCCTCCTCGGAAAGCATAACATACATAAGACACCTTGGACAACCCACCAGAACCATGGATTTTGTCGTCTCGCCACTGTTTGTGCCAACGTCCATCTCTGATGACACGCATGAGCTAGGAGGAGATGTCGGTGACACCGTAGCTGATCGGCTCGGCGATTCCACTCTTGGTGGTGATAGGTTCAGCTTCAAATCAGGCTTGGGACCGTTTCTCCGACTCATCTTTGTATTCTTCACGTACACAAATTAACCTGAAGCATGTTACATAACCAAGAAGAAGTTAATAACAATTGAAATATTGATAACATGGAGAAGAGAATAAAAAAAGATTGAATGTTATAAGTTACCTTCAAGGTCAAATAAAGGGCAGGTGGTGAAGGGTTTGAAGATGAAAGAGCTAATATATATAGGAAAGAGGAGGCTTTTTATTTATTTATTTAAAGCTTTAATTAAATTACGGCGGGAGTGGTGGAAATGTGCAGGTTAGAGAGAATTTAATTAAATAGAAGAATCGGTAGAAGCAGCAGTAAATAGCATTGCAATCTACCTAAGTTTTGTACACATTTAACAATTTGATAATATTAGTAAAGTTCCATTGCATTATAGATTCAAATAAATTTATTAAAATTTTCTTTAGTCTATTGATAACACGAGATTCAATTAATACCTTGAGCTATTGCTTAGGACCCATATTTTACTCTTATAATTGAGGCCCAAGATTTTTTCAATCTCACTTTTCTACCTTTATTATTGAGGACTTTAATTTTTTTCAATTCCATAAAATTCTCAATTTTTCATCCCTTTCTCCATCTCTCTCATTAGTTCATTTAATTTCGAATTAAATCTAATCATATTTTTCTTTTTCTTTTTCTTTTTTTCAAATATTATTATTCGGTTTATTAAATATTTTTTAATCCTTATTCTTCTTCAATCTCAATCTAACAATAAAATAATACACTATTATTTATTTATTTCTATTTATTGTTCAAAATCAAGCTCCATATCATACTCGCGTTCAAATTTTTTATTTATTCTTTTAGTTGTATTTAATGTATTTTCTTAACAAAATAATGAAAATAATCTTTAATAAAATTTAATCTATTTTTTATAATTTATTAATGTAATATTAAATTAATTGTTTAAGGTAATAGAACATACTTTCGTTCTATAAGAGCCTATTTTTGAGCTTTCGCTTAGAGCTTTGAAAATATCTTAAACAACTCTGGACAACGTATACATATTCTGCAGACATTGTTTGAATCTAAATTCCTTAAGAAGAACAATATTTTTTATCATTAATGATATTCAATAAGTGAATATGGAAAAATTAAAAGAAATTAAAATATGAATAATTTTATTAATTATGATATAATATTTTATGTCACGATGTTAATTAATGAGACTAATTTATTTAACTAAAACTTACTCAAATGATGCACTTTGTTTTAAATGGGGGAGTCATTAAGAAGAGTATGGTTTGAAGGGAAAGCCTGCATTAATTGCTTTTGCTTTAAAATGAGTATAACAAAACCAATCTAGTATGAGGGAAATTTTGGAGTGTTAATATATAATAATGACACCTAAGAATTTAATACAAACAACCATAAATTTAAATCCCTCGATTTAAATGTTCAACAAATTTCTGATAATTAACATGATAAGTTGTGTCATATTCATTTTAAAAATTTATTATGTTAATCAATATGAAAGATTATAAATAGAGAGAGAAATGAAATCATTTTTTAAATCATTAATTTTATTCAAAATAATAACTATCATAAATTATAATAAAGATTTATAATTATAATGGTAAATTAAGAACATAATTAGGATAATTTCTTATAATCATTGAAACAAAACTAGCAACTTAAGATCACATAAGGATCATACAATAAAAGATTAAAATCTAACCAAGAAAACGCAAACAAAGATAGATACAAATAGATCTTATCGTTTAGACAAATGAACCATAAAAGGGAATCAGGCTACTAAAAGACCACCGATAAACCGTAAATCAGACTCGAGTGACGTGAAAAACTATCCATGAACGCATAGCAAGCATCCAAATTTAATTTGAGGGTCCAATGTAGGGAAGATCAACAATATAACAGATAAACGTCATCTTGATATGTCGTGGCGATATCTAATCAACCCTTAAAAAGATATAAGAGAAAACAACAGTCAAAAGATCGAAAAACGTGCCAAAATACATAAGAAAATGTGTCATAAAGGCAGAGAAAAATGTGTCATACAAACAGAAAATTAAAGTTGACAACCAACATTAAAGTTGATGCTACCGCGATCAACAAAGACAAAAAAAACAAAAGATAAACGGCTTACCAATGAGAAAAAACTTAAATAAATTCAATTTTAGTATTTATGCAACATTATACTTTTAACATCTTATGACTTTATAATATAATTGAACACTTAATTTATGTCATATTTTATGTCATATTTTATAATAACAATATATATTAAAAATATGTAATCATAATTATTTAATATAATATTTCCGCTAATAAATTCCATTAAACCCACCCACCAACTCTCCTTTAGTTCTCTGCACTGTTTTGTTTGGAATTAATGTTTCGTGCGAACAAAAATAAATGTTAACTTTCGATATTTAAATTTCCAACTCAAAGTTTAAAATTAACTGTTTCGAATTCACCAAAACAGAATTAATTCTTTAAAACATTTGGATTTATAACTTTCATTTTTCTCCTAGTTTATAATATATTTTGCTTTCATCTATATCTACAGTTATAATATTATTTTTCATAAATATCAAATAATTTTTAAAATCATTTAATATACTATTTCATCGATCATTTAATTCGAATTTAAATATGATAAAAATGCATTATAAAGATGATCTTATTTTATCTAAATTAATATATTAATTATAATTATAATCAGGGACTAAACTGAGATTTTAGTTTAAAGAATAAAGTATAATTATAATAAAAAATAGGAAAGATAAAATAAAAATAAATCAAAACTCGAAGGTCTAAATAAGTATTTATTCTTATTTTTTTAATAAAAAATTGGGGGCAGCGTTCCTGGAACTATACATAGCTCTGTCCCGGATTATAATATTACTTTATGATAATTTTATTAATTATTTTAGTGCATTATTGTGTAAAATATTGCTATATATAATCTTATAGAATTGTAAAGTTCAAACCAAATAAAAATGAATTGATAAATCAGATTTAATAAAAAAACAGCAAAAAGCAACAGCATTTATAATATTTTTCTTGAGTAGAAAATAAGAATAATGGTGTCAATGTCAAGCTATTATTATAAGACGAACCATATTGAAGGCACTTCAGTACTGTTAGTGGTGGCTGTTGACGAATTTATAACATTTTTTAGCATTTATTTTAAAGATAATTTGGTAAAATGAAAAATAAATGTTAAAAGTTCTTGGGTTGGTCTCCAAATTATAGGGTATTACTTTCTTAAATCTCTCGACTATTAAAAGTTACAAAATGATTCTCTAATTATATGACACTACTTTGTTAAGTCACTCGATTATTAAAAGTTACAAAATGATCCATCGGCTATATGATGCTATTTTGTTGAATCCCACAACTATTAAGAGTTACAAAATGATTCATTTACTATATGACACTATTTTGTTGAGTCCCCCGACTATTAAAAATTACAAAATAGTTATCCTATTATTCATATGTTCTAAACTCATCATTTTCCTTTAAAAAATTGACGATTATTTGAGTTGGATGATAACCTGCTGACTGTAGGGCTGTAAATGAGACGAGACAGATCGCTACTCGAGATCAACTCGATCTTGGCTCGATAAATACTCGGATCGAATGGACTCGACTCGAGCTCGAACTCGACTCGAGTTCTTAACGAGCCGAAACGAGCTACTCGATACTCGACTCGAAAAGCTCGTGAGCAGCTCGAAAAAAATATTATATTATAATTTTATATTTTTTAAAATTACATTATTAAAAATATATTAAAAATACATTATTGATGAATAAAATTCCAAATAATCGAATACTCTTTGAATCATACTCAGTAGTATAACCTTTGGAAATCAAGCCTGTAGTGTCGAGTTAATAATTAAGATATTAAGTAGAATAACATTGATATTTGTTCACAACACCATAGAATTATGGTGAATGGAATTTAGAATGGATAAATTTGTACTAAAAACCTTGAGTCTGCCGAAACTGAAATTTCCCTGGTATCACTGGCTAAATATTTTACAGGAGGGGTGACAACTATGCAACCATTTCTTAAGAAATTTTTCCCATCAATATTACGAAAAGCAGCAGAGGCTAATAACAACATCTATTACATGAATGATACCCAAGTTTTATCCTCATTTACTTCACTGTACGTTGCTGGTTTGGTTGCATCACTGGTTGCTAGCCGCGTCATTGGGTCGACGAAACACAATGGTGTTAGGTGGCCTCACATTCCTTGCTAGTGCTGCCGTTAATGGGGGCGCTGTTAATGTTACCATGCTTATCTTAGGTCGTATCTTGCTTGGATTTGGGGTTGGTTTCACCAATCAAGTAATTATCTATTTGTCTTTGTCCTCCATCATATATGTATGCGTATTTCCGTTAAAATTAAGATTAAGTAGAAAGATTATCTCCTACTATAAACATATCGATGAAGACGACGACGAAAAGATTAAGTAGATGAGCGTGAAGCTTCATCTTCATCATCATCTTTTCCATGCTGACAGAAAAGTTACGCAATGAGGAGACTGTTATAGACTTATAGTACATGAAAAGCACAAAAGAAAGAAGAAAAGATGGTCAGCAAATGTGAGTAACATTCGAAAAGAGAAGGGAAAAGGACGAAATGAATGAAATTGAAATGCACGAGGTTGGTGTTCAAATGTAAATTTCCTACTAATCCTAGAAAATAATCTTTACGCTTGTAATGTATTGAACGTGCAATGACATTAAAAATTTAGAAACTTCAATGACCACAAATCAATCACGTTACTAACAAAACCAATTGATCCGATCATTGTTGATTATTTCGGACACAGGGAAATGCATGGTAGAATTTGAATCTTTCTTTAGTTTATCATTGTTGGTTATTAGTTTAGGTGATAATGCAAAGCATACAATTTTAACACATTCTGATAACAAGAAGCCATTACCGCATATAACAAAATATAAATTCAAAACAAAAATTTCTAAAGCCATTGATGTCTACAAGAACACTATTGCCAGAATTCACAATTCCATCTTTATCATAACAAAGTTCAAAATGGTTCTTTTTAAAACAAAACATTTTTGCCAAAATTTAAAATGAATCCCTCTCACACCCAACCTGTGGGAGCAGGGGCCGTGACATCGACGGGAACACCTGGGATTTGTGCTGGAGCGGCTGCAACATCCCACCCTTCGGCACCACCAACTGCAACTGCAGTCGAAATTTCAAAGTAGATTAAGCAAAGGAAACAATAAGTAAGACGTAAATTAAATGATATAATCAGAAATAGAAGTTATTACCTTGGTCACCCCAGTTAACAGCAGCAGGGACACCAGAAATGGGTGCCTGAACCATATCAGCAGACCATTGATCGCCTATTTGTGCAGGCCATTGATCAGCTGCTAACCCACCCATTCCAAAATCTGCTGGAGGGAGTCCATAATCAGGGGCCGCAACAGCCTCCTCCTCTTCTGCCTCTTTAGCTTCCTCAGGTTCCCTGTAGAAAAATAGATCCACCTACATACAAACCATGTATAAGTAACACAAATTAACACATTCAAATTGTATAGGAGATATCATGAAAGTGATATATCTTTTACCATCACATCACACTTCTGTCCAGGAGCAATTGTGCCGCGCATCTGAAGAACCATCCTTGCCAACAGCCAGAAAAGGCAATCGATGCTGTGCTTTCCCTTGTTGTTAGCAGGGATACCAATGTCAACATATCGCATCGGCGAGTCGGTATCACAAAAGGCAATGGTCGGAATGTTTCCAAGAGTTGCTTCCTTGATGGGCTGCAGAGAACAGTTGGTTGCAGAAAAGGCTTCTTAAATGGTTATTGATTTCTCGAGAAGAAAGTTTAATTATGCAGATTGCTCTTCATTTAATGGTTTATTGTTTCTTTTTGACAAGATTCTGCTTGCCATTTTGATGAAAACCGATCACTTGATTCCTTCCTATCTACATTGATGCAAAGGGGGTTTTTTGTGCCCTCAATCCACTTTGAAAATACACAGTCCTATGTGAGTTGATATCCCACATCGTTGGCTCTTGGAGAATAAGAGGTAAGTCTAATGTATAAAAGAGGATGGGTTTAAGAAAAAAAATATTAACCCATCCTCGAGCTTAAGTCGAGCTTGAATTGAGCTCACAATCGAGCTTGAATCGAGCTCACAAACGAGCTTGAATCTAGCTCAAAATTGAGTTTGAATCGAGCTTCAATCGAGTCTCGAGCTTCAGTTGAACTATTGAATTTTTTTTGAGTTCGAGCCTTTTCTTTCGAGTTCGAGTCGAGTTTTAATATTATCTTTCGAGTTTGAGTCGAGTTTGAAAATTTTAGGCTCGCGAGTTTTCGAGTTGAGTCGAGCTTATGTTTAAAGTTTTCGAGTTCGAGATGAGCTCGGCAATACTCGAGCTCGACTTGGCTCGTTTACACCCCTAGCTGATTGAGATATGATAAAATCATATTTTAATGATGGCTATTGGCACCACCATTGCTTTCAAACACTGGCTTGATGACATAATGTTTCAAGTATTAACTTGGTGACATAATATTATTATATTTTATCATATCTCAGTTAACATGTTAACAGACGACCACTAATTTTTTTAACGAGAAAGGATGAGTTTGAACATACGAATATTTGGGTGATCATTTTGTAACTTTTAATAGTCGATGACTCAACAAAATAGTGCCTGAGACTATTTTGTAACTTTTAATGGTCAAAATACTCAACAAAGCTGCACCCTATAATCAAGAGACGATTACTGTACTTTACCCACAATTTTAAGTATTGAATTTTATAAGTATAAGATTAATAAAAGAAATAGTTTTTCTATCTTTCGTTAATGCATTTTTAGTTATTTCATCGTTGTTTCTCCTGTTTTTTTTAATGATCTTTCGCTCAAATTCTTTTTAATTCACTTTCAGGTTATGAATCAGGTCAGTCCCATCTTATTTCTTGTTTTAGGTCCTTCTTCGAAGATCTCGCATTCCTTTTCGGAGGGTAAAACCCTTATTCTATATGACTGTAAGGAGAAACTAGATTATAAAAATCTTCTGTTATAATGTTAGAATGAGATATATAACACCCTAATTCCAAAAATTCAAATATCTTATAATGTTTTTTTTCAAAATATTTTCGTATCTTATATAATTATTTTAAAATGTTGAGTAAATTATTTCAAAAAAATGATTAGTTACTTTAGTGATATTGTGTGGCACTTAAATCTCTTGGATTTGAGTCGTGTCAGATTACAGTGTTATAAGGTGATTAGGTCTGTTAACTTTTCCGATTACCATGTTTTTTGATATGCCATGTTGATTTATAATTTATAATATTCATGATTCTATGTTGATGCTTGAGTGCACTTAGAGGACACACTGAGTTCTATAGCTCACTCTTTTTATGTTTCTCCCTTTCATATTATCTAGATGTAAGATCAATTCAACAATCAGTGGTTTAGTCTTAGTTTTATATTATTCAATGGTTAAATATTGATTTTCAACATTCTTTTAATTATGTCATGAGCCTTATTTTACTAATTTATTTGATAAGGATTTTTTAAATGATTTGTCAATTATGTTTTTCTTTTGAAAGGTCAGTTTAATGATCAATTTTATCGTCATGATTTGGTCGTAACTTTTAAGTTGAATCTTCAAGATAACATGACCAGCCAAAATTCAAGATTTATTTTATTTAATTCTTTGTAATAAGGACACGTCTTTAAAGCATTAAGTCACGAATGAACACAATATAAGCCCCATTCAAAACATTTTTTAGGGGATACCGACATTATTATGGTTTTAGTATTGTTTTGGGTTGTCAATTACATTGAATTACTTCCAACCTCCTCCATTGGAGCTAATATTATTAAAGTTTTCTTTATATTCACTAATAATTGTTCTTCGTCTATTATTATGTATTAGATTTCAATATCACGGGTTTCAAAACTGTTTTGAGTGATTTTCAATCTAATTGAGGGGATTCGAAGGGTGTCAAAACTCTTAAGTGATTGACATAATTCTTCTACCTTGCGAGTTTAGAGCTCCAGTCAGGGAGCTTCTCTCATTTTACAGATGAAAACGTCTCATATAGAGGTATCTATGTGTGCAAGCTACTGTGATGGACCCATTTCAAAAGATATGTATGTTCTGTGTCACTTTTTTAAAAGGAGACTCCTAAAATACTTTATAATAAGACGAAATTATAAAATATCAAAATTTAAGAAGATTGAAACTATGATGGACATAAATATGAATTTTTTCCCCATTAAACACCATAAATTTGATTATTTTTTAGGAAAATTGATTACAATTGAATTATTGAGACAATACAGAGAAAACTAGAAGATTTTTTTATTAAATTTTGCCATGAATTTTTTTTTATAAATTAGTGGATTCATTTTAAAGTGAAGGGCCCTTAAATTATGGGATCCTATGACGTATCACAAACTACACTTGTCAGCGGAGTAGCCTGCATGCGTGTCTATAACATCAATCCTGGCAAGGGATCCATAAAAATCTTCATGGCTCAATATGGGTCTTTGTGCGGAGGGCTCTACGACACTAGGATAAACGATTATTCTTTAGCGGGATTATAAAGTTCACCGTTTATTGATTCGGATGAAGGACTATCGAAGTTTAATTACAATTTCTAATCATTTTAATTTTAATTCATCATCAAAAAGATTTACTATATTATGTCTAGCGGTTCATCTCAACATTTACATGGTTCACCTTTAGCAAACATTTATACCCATGTCACGGGTCGTGCATTTGGGTCCGGGACATTGGCGCAAGTGTCCACTAAAGAGGTTTTATACGGAGTGTGGGCTTGCCATGACCACCAGACTTGACCCATCACTTGGAGAATGTTGTGGAGCTCGTTCACATTGGTCGTGCAGATAAGGTAAGTGACATCATATTCGAATATGATCACAGGAGTTCGGTAAATATGACAAGAGACAATAAATCAGGAAGATATTGTAGGGGATTCTTACTATATCCAGTGTGAACACCTAACGAAGGAAAGATTCCTACTAATTTATGTAATTATAGGATTGGGTTTGGTTTCCTTGATTTAAGGAATCTTGTATTGATTTAAGGAATCTTGTATTGATTTGGCAAATCTTAGCCATTGATTGTAAGGGAGCTCAACTATAAATAGAAAGCCTCCCCTCCTCATTTGTATCGTCTCATTTCATTCATTCTCTTGGGAGAGTAATAAAGCTTTGAGGCATTTAGTTTATCTCTTTCTGTTCTTAGTTCATAGTTTTCTTTGTGTTGTTGCATCTCTTGGTGGCTAAAAGTGGCCACGCTTGTGTTTTCACTTCTACACCATAGTCCAACCCTGGTGGCTTGAGTGGCCATGTCGGTGTTTAAATCTTCCACATCTATAGAAGCCTTAAAGGCTTGATTCCAACCTTTGGTGAGTTTACAGGCTCACGAAGCTTAGGCAAGGCTTAATCGCAAAAACGACCCAGACGTGTCAAGAAGTGTAACATCCTCAATATCAGGTTAGTGACCAAATTATAAAGTTTCAGAAATTGGTGATTAAAGTAGGATAATTGAATAGTTTAATGATTTATTGGAATATGATGAAGGTTAGTTAGTAATTATTAAAGGAAATAAAGGGTAAAATGGTCATTTGACCATAAAGATTTTTATCTTTCTTTTAAGGTTATAAAACACGTGGAAAAGGTGAAAAGAAAAGAAAAGTCTGGAGCTTGGGTTATCTCCTTCCTCTTCTCTTCCCGTAAGATCCATGGCAAAGGTGAGCTTAATTTCAGTTGGTTAATTCTTGAGTTTTAACCTTAGTTTTGATTCTTGGGGTGTTAAGAAAGATTATTTAGAGATTAAAGTATGTTGAAACTTCAAAATGGATGAGTTATAAAGGATTAAATATGAAGAGTTTTTAAGTAAATTAGTGAAATAGAAGGAGTTAATAGATTTTGAAGTTGAATTTGACTTGTAAAGGTTTAAATTAAGAGATATGAAGTGATAAAAGGAGTTTTAAAACATGTTGAAAATCTGGTATGATTCTTGAAGTCAATAAAGAGGAGAGGATATTAAGGTTCAAGATGAGATTAATTAATAGAAATGAGTTTGAATATGAGTATGTAAGTTAAGAATAAGGAAGGGGATGATATATGAAGTAATTAAGCTGAAAAGAGTGGATTTTCGGGCATAAATTGGAATTCTGGGCAACGTGCATCGGTGCACATTCAATGTGCACCGATGCATCAAAGGAAAATTTCCAGAAATTGTTCAGTGTGTATCGATTCACGGGAAGTGCATCGATGCACCCCCTTAAAATGAAAACATCGAAGGTGATTTGTGTATCGATGTATGGGTAGTGCATCAATGCACATGTTAAAGAATGCATTGATGCACTGTAGAATGCATCGATGAACTTCAAGGGGAAATTGAAATAGACATTTCTTTTGGTCTAATAAATGATAGATTAGAGTATATCAATGGGATACTAATATGTATTATTGTATGATTATGTAGATATCGAACATGATCAAGTTCCGGAATGAGTATCAAGTTAAGATTCGAGCAAAATAGAGGAAATCATAAAAAGGGATCGAAACTTAGTGAGGCCAAGGTGAGTGCATAATAGTGACATGTATTGTTAATGGAAATAGGACTTGCGATGAGACTATTTCCTAGAATAATATGCATGAAGTCATGAATGAGATTATGTGGTTATTATTATATGTGTTATATGTGATTATATATTTTACATTAATTGTATGTATGCATAACTAAGATATTGATATGCTTTGTATATGCTGCTATAGGATTTGTGTAAAACACTAAAATGTAATAATGGAAGAACATGAAATAAATTATATGATAGAGACATAAAGAATGAAATGAATGAGTGAGCATAAGATAATCGAGTATAAGTCATATTATATGGTATAGGTGATTTCACGAGAAAGGTTAGAAGACTCTATGAGGATAGTATAAATTCGAGGGTATATGCATAAATAAAGATACATAAGTTATATAGGGAAGATTATATAGTTAAACGAAACTATGGTTTATGAATTATAAAGTGAAGAGCTACAAAGCTTTATGAAAGAGTATATGTATGAAGTAATGGGAAATTGAACTAATTAAATAGATTAAATTAGTATATATAAATGAATTATGTAAGTGAAAGGGGAAATGAGATAAAATAAGTTGAAATTATTTATAGGATAGAATGAGATTATTTGAACATGTGTTATAAACTTTATAAAGGAGGACTTAGGTTAAATCATTATATGATATAAATATAGGGCATTATTATGTAAATTACATTAAAGAGACATGTTTACACGATTACATGATATGATACCGAACATTAGATATATGAAAGAGAAAGTGAAACAAGTTAAATGATATTGAATCAGGTGAATATAAGAGATTAAAGCATAAATTATATGAAAAGATATAAGTCATAGGATATGACATGTTTATAGGAACATAGGAGAATTGTTATATGCCATGTGATACATGTATACGAAATGATATGAGAATTTACATGAACTATGTGATTATATGTTATATGAATACAAGAACATGAGATATGTGAATTATATGGAAATGATCTACGTGTAAGTGAACTATGTGACTATGTGATTATATGAAAATAGTGATAATGAGCTATGTGCAAAAACTATGAGACTACGTGCCTAGGTAATATGAATATGTGAACATGTGAAATGACATAAATGATAATGCTCATGTTATTTGTCATGAGAGCTAGGGTATAGTTGGCATGCCAAGAGTCGAGGGTCTACGCGGTCATTCGGGACATATATGTATCTGTCGCAACCGTCTTTCAGTTGGGCCCCGGAATTGGGCTTCGCCTTAGAAAAATGTGGATTGGAGTCGCCACCGATCATTTATTTAAAAATAAATGGGTTGATCGGATACCCTATTTCTTACCTGATCTGCGTCTTACCAGAAATATGTCGGGGTCGGGAGTCGGTTACGGTCAAGGAAGGATTAGCACCCTTGAACCGCCCTTTCGGTACTACGTAATTTCCAGTTGTCTTAATTAAGAAAAATAACAAGTTAAATTAAAAGGTAAAGTTTCGATCCTAATTACTTACCCTTGATTGATTTGAAAATATCCTTTAAAAAATCAGAAATGTGTTAGATAAACAAGGTAAAGAAAACAAATAAGATACAAGGGAAAAATAAAATAAATAAAATAAATAAGATAAGAAAAAAATAGTAAATTAATAATTATATATAGTAATATTAGATTTATAAGTAAAATATTAAAGAAATATATATATATAATAATAATAATAAAATATAGTAAAAAAATAAATGAAAATAATTTAATATATATATATATATATAATAATAATAATAACATGAATAATAAAAATAAATGAATAAAATATCCATATAATAAATAAAGGGACTAATATAGATTTTTAAAAAGCTCTTCCCCTCTTTTAACCGAAAATCAAACCGGTTTTTAAAAATAAGCCTCGGGGTAGATCTAGGTTCGAAACTTCGAAACCCCACCCATTTTGGTCATCGACGCAACCCACGTTTTGAGTTATTCGAACCAAATCTCAAGAAAAATAACGTGCACATGCAAAAGAAAGAAAAAATAAAATGCTACCTTTTATTTCCTTTTCGAATCCTTTACAATAGTTTTGCCTTTGTATCTTCCCATGCTTTCCTCTATGTTTTGTGTGTAAATCGTGTGTTACAATGGTGAGTTACAATGGCTATTTATAGTTCTTGTGGATCCTATCTTTAGGAATTTAAATCTTAGTAGAACTCTATCCTATTTTAGGAGTTTGAATCCTAGCAAATTTTATCCTATTGTTAGGAGTTTGAATCCTAGTAGGACGAAAATGTGTGTTGACAGCTGCCCCTCTTTGCCCATAGTCGTGTAACGGGGATAGGGCAAAGATTAAAAGACACACTTTTCGTTCAGTGGAGTTGAAAATTAACTCTGATGTTTCAATAACTCCCTGTCGAATTGAGTTACGGATGACTCCTCCATCGTGAAGTCGAGTTCATATTGAAATGATATGAAATTGAAGCCGTAGTTCGGAATTTGAATCAGCACGTGGCTTCCCGTTACCATTCGGTCTTCTTCTCGGTTTAAAGACCTTGGATCGGAATCGAACTCAGAAATCTTCATTGACAGATAGCTTTTTCTTGACTTAAGTTATGTTGTTTGAAAATGGTTGCTTGTCACTAAGGCACGGCTAACCCAGGTCATCTTCTCGACTTGAAAACCTCGACTGCAACCGGAAAGTAGTGCAATTGATGTGTCATCGAGCTGAATGGAGTCGAACTCAATAATTTTGATGGCATATAATCCTTCTTTGAGTTGGATATCCTTCGTCGTGAAGTTAAAATCCAAGTAAGTAGCATTGTTCCGAGTCCAATATCCTCCGTCGTGAAGTTGAAATTGGCTCTGGAACCGGGAAATTGTTTGTTGACAACAAGCCGTCTCTTCGTTATGAAGTTGAACTTGTGTTGTCTCGAGTCCAATATCATTCACTGTGAAGTTGAAATTGACTCTGAATGAAATTTTGTTGACAAGCAGCGGTCCCTTCTTCGTGGAGTTGAACTTGCGTTGTCTGGAGTCCAATATCCTTCGTTGTGAAGTTGAAATTGGCTCTGAGATTGGGAAGTTGTTGTTGACAAGCAGCGGTCCCTTCGTCGTGAAGTTGAACTTGCATTGTCTGGAGTCCAATATCCTTCGTTGTGAAGTTGAAATTGGCTCTGAGATTGGGAAGTTGTTGTTGACAAGCAGCGGTCCCTTCGTTATGAAGTTGAACTTGCGTTGTCTAAAGTCCAATATCCTTCGCTGTGAAGTTGAAATTGGCTCTGAAATTGAGAAGTTGTTGTTGACAAGCAGCGGTCCCTTCGTCGTGAAGTTGAACTTGCGTTGTCTGGAGTCCAATATCCTTCGTTGTGAAGTTGAAATTGGCTCTGAAATTGAGAAGTTGTTTATTGACAACCAGCCGTCCCTTCGTTGTGAAGTTGAACTTGTGTTGTCTCGAGTGTCATGATATCCTCCGTCGTGGAGTTGAAATCGCGGATGTTTGGCTTCGAGCTAGACATCATTCGTCGTGAAGTTGAAATCTATTCTCGAGCAAATTGTGTCGTTTCAAGAGAAACTGTCTCAAGGGAGACAAAATTTGTTTGAAGGAAAACATATTCAAAGATTTCGTTAAATTGTTTTCAAAGTTTATGTTTGGAGAGAAACTGTCTCAAGGGAGACAAAATTCGTTTCAAGGGAAGCTGTCTCAAGCGAGATAAAATTCATTTCAAGGGAAATGTTTTCAATGTTTATGTTTCAAGAGAAACTGACTCAAGGGAGACAAAATTTTCTGTTTCGAGGGAAACTATCTCAAGAGAGAAAAAAAATCATTTCAAGGGAAATGTTTTCAATGTTTATGTTTCAAGAGAAACTGTCTCAAGGGAGACAAAATTTTCTGTTTCGAGGGAAACTATCTCAGGAGAGAAAAAATTAATTTCAAGGGAAATGTTTTCAAGAGAAATTGTCTCAAGGGAGACAAAATTTTCTGTTTCGAGGGAAACTATCTCAATCAAGATAAAATCTTCTTAAAAAAATAGCCTTGAGTGAAATGAAATGCCTTCTTTCGAGTGAAAACAGTCTCAAGCGAGACAAATCTTGTTTTAAGAAAAACAATCTTGAGTGAAATAAATCTTCTTTCGAGAAAAACAGTCTCAAGTGAGACAAAGTATGTTTTAAGAAAAACAAATTTGAGTGAGATAATCATCTGCATTAAATGAGACTGTCTTAAGTGAGAGAAAGTTTATATTGGAAATGTTGAATCTGGAGATGAATGTCGATCTTTCAATCTGTCGAGTTGGCTTTTAATCTCATCTTCTCCTGAAAGATCTGTAAAATGTATATGGATGTAACTATCCTGATGATGTATGCTTGATGTATGCCCAAATGAAATTTATTTGCTGTTGAATTTGCCCTCAAGGGAGGAAAAATCAAGGTTTTTATTGCTCATGATGATGAATTCAAAGATGCAAATTTCACGCGTCATGTATGTACGTGTTGACGTATATGTTGAGATGTGAGGGGAATGGCTGCGTGTGCAGTCTTCATTCTGACTTAATTTGTCTTCATTTCCACCAGGGTGTACTCTTGCAGACCTCAAGACAATTTTTCCTTCCCTTATCAAATTTTGCCCCAAAGATGGTTTCCTTTGCCTCTGTTTCGATCTTGAGCTTCGGAGCGATATTTGTTGGATTCCAAGATATGCTTCCAGAGAACTTATCTTGTTTGAAAATGCTTTTCTTCTTTCGAATTTTCAAAATTTTGAAAAATATTAAAAAGAACTTTTGAAAAAGTTACCTCTTTCTAGGTTTCACAATTGAAGCAAATCATAAAACATGAGTTCATTGGATATCAAAAGAATCAAACACTCTTTTAATCTTTGATAGCTGCAAATCTTTGACAAATATAAAGATCGAAAAGTTGGTCTAGAGGTGTGTTTGTTTCATCGATTTGGTTATCGTGAAGATCATGGCATACCCCTCTTTCTTGATTTGGTATTTTGATCAGAGGCGAACAAAATGACACAACTAGCATAATCAATGACTAGACCTTTCAGAACACTTTTGTTTTAGTTCTCTGAAATCTTCCATTTGTTCAAGTTTCGTAAGCTCTTCTAACAAAGGTAGTGCAGAAATATCGGTCTAAAAAATGAAATTCTTGAGTGCTCGTGTGGATTTGACTATAACAGGTGTTTCTCAACTCCCTTAGTCTATTATTACCGAAAATTTCTTTTTAGATGAATTTGATTTATTTTGCAATTGTCTGGCTAGCCGAATCCATAAAGTCGGGGCGTTCAACCAATTGCTTTAGAGGGACAGCTTATAATCACTTTTATCAGGTTTAACTGAAGGGTTCATCTCATCACAAAATCTTTGACCTGACAAAAGCAGTGGAGCAAACACCGAATTGCCAAGTGTTCGAGCAATGTCATGATTTGAATGTAATCTATTCATAAAGGCAGGGCTTTCGAGTTTCCTCTATAACCAATTGCCTTAGTGGAATAGCTCAGCTTTAGAGGGACAAATCACTGAAGGGTTCGTCTCATCACAAAGTCTTTGGCTTGACAAAAGCAGTGGAGCAAACACCGAATTGCCAAGTGTCCGAGCAGTGTCATAGTTTGAACATAATCTATTCATAAAGCTAGGGCTTTCGAGTTTCCTCTATAACCAATTGCCTTAGTGGAATAGCTCAGCTTTAGAGGGACAAATCACTGATGGGTTCATCTCATCACAAAGTCTATGGCCTGACAAAAGCAGTGGAGCAAACACCGAATTTCCAAGTGTCCGAGCAGTGTCATAGTTTTAACATAATCTATTCATAAAGCCAGGGCTTTCGAGTTTCCTCTATAACCAATTGCCTTAGTGGAATAGCTCAGCTTTACGGATTTAATTTCTTAAGATTGTCAAGAAGAACCTGTTATAGTCTAGGTGTTTTTGAAAGTTAAGGGATCTCATCTTTAGAGTTCAATTTCCAAACAACTGACCTAAACTAGATTTGCTTACTCGACTATTCCATCTATGAAGATCATTATCATCCCTGAACATCATAAACAAGGGTATAAACCAATTAGTTTTGCAATCTCATGTGCTAGTTGACCTATTCTGTTCGCTCCTAATACGTGTCTGAATACCAAACCTTGGATGGACTCTTCATGAGAAGAGAAAACTTAGCTCGGTAAGAGAAAAATATGTAGTCTGATGTATCTTTTAAATTAGGACCAAGGGGTCTTTGTTTTGCAGGGTTCAATCTTGTCATTTGTCAAAGATTTACAACCTCAATTATTAAAAGTTTTTAATTGAGGTGATATTCAAGGAATTCAAGATTAAAATTTGCTCATCTCCTAAGAAGGAAGCATTTTTTTTAAAATGTTTAAACGTCAAGTGACTTAAAAATGTTCACGCATAAGAAGTACGAAAGAAAAACAAGTTCAAACAAGATGATATACTTGATAATGCAACAAAATTCCTAATGGATGCCCCATATGACTCTCGATCAGAATGCCCCATTACATATTGAAAGTGAATGCCCCTAAATCGATCAGATCTTGGACCTTACATTTCAATGCCCCACAATTCTCAATGGTGTGCCCTGAGCTCCCAATATGATAGCTGCATACGGCGTTAATATCATGACCTTCAGGATATGGGGCCTCTCTAGGTTTGGATTGAACTAGAGTCACAAGATTTTTCTCAACTAACGTTGGGAGTAACTCCTCATATGTCATTGGGATTGGACTGATGCAAATCTTTTCTTTCCTTGGTCCTCTCTGAGTTTGTTTAGAAGTACTAGACGGTACAACTACAACAGTTTTTGGACTTGAGACCGTAACACCTTTGTTGGCGTTGTAGGTATTGACATTGTTGATATCTCCCTCAATTTTTCTTGTTTTATAGCTAGCTCGATCATCTCACCAGCCATAACTAGATCTGAGAAAGTTCCCGATGTAATTGCCACCAGGTGCCCGAAGTAAGGTGCCCGAAGTAAGGTGCCTTCAGGGTCTGTAAAAACAACTTTTTAGTTTCATTTTCATCCAAAGGTGGATGAACTTGGACAGACAAATCCCTCCAACGCTGTGCGTATTGTCGGAAACTTTCATTGTGCTTTTTCTCCAGGCTTTGCAGCATAACTCGGTCTGGTCTCATATCGTTGATATGCTTATATTGTTCTAGGAAAGACTTGGCTAAGTCTTTCCATGTCTTGATGTGAGTTTGGCTGAGCTGATTATACCAGCGGATAGCTGAACCGGATAGGCTCTCCTGAAAACAGTGGATCAGGAGTTGATCATTCCCTCCATATCCTGTCATCTTCCGACAGAACATAGTGATATGGGCTGAGGGGTAGCTGTTCCCATCGAACTTCTCAAACTCAGGAGCTTTAAACTTTGGTGGAAGCACCAAATCTGGAACCAGACTTAGCTCCCTTGTGTCCACTCCATAATAATCATGGTCCCCTTGGACTATCTTCATTCGATCTTCTATCATCCTGATCTTCTCTTCTATCTTTTTCACTTTGTCATCTTTATTAAAATACGGGATACTGTAATCATCTGGATGATTATCAGGATTAGTTTTGGAAGTTTTCACCTTTACAGCAGATGGTGCTTTTCCTTTGACAGCAGAAGAATTTTCTTGTGGTCTGGGTAAGATCTCGGGTGACATAATCACCTGTGAGGTTGGTTACATGGTTACCCCTTCGAAGGGACTTCCCCCTTCTGCACTAACTTGCTGTAAACATGATAACTTGGCCACTATTTGGTCGACCAAGGATTCCTGGTTTTTCTTGATGGATTCCAGAGTGCTCTGACTGTTTTGAGCCATCTTATCTTCCAGTTCTTTTTATAGTCTTTCCATGTTCTCCTCGAGTTTTTCCATTCTGGCCTCCATTTGTCTTTTCTTTGCTCGGGTATTATGCGGATGATGTGTATTTAATGTCTGTAGTGGTAGACTTGGTGTTTTCTCTTTCGCTTTCTGAGACATGTTCTGTTTGTCAATACGAATGTAAAAACATGGAAAATATAGAAATAAACATGAGATATAGAATGCAAAATATGCAATGCATGATGTATGCAGCTTAGAGGCACTGATCCAGAAAAAGTGTTCATTATTATAAATAATCTTTATTCAGACAAAAATATCTTATCTTGTAAGAGACATAAAAATAATCAAAGTTACACTCGAATTAAATCCTCTAAACCCCGAATAACTTCTAGTAGATTGACAAGTCTTCTGTCTTCGTCCGTTACTGGTTGAATACCTTGTCGAACCACTCCGGCTTCCCTTGTCAGGCCATGAAGATGATGGGCTGCCTTCTGTACTTGATCTAGGAAGTCTCGGATGGCTGCGTCTCTGGCCAGTGTACTCTTGAAAGGCTGACTTTTGGTGTGCTTAACGTAGACTCGCCCTAGTTTGATGTTTTCACAGTGTAGCAGTGTGGTGTATTCTTCGATAGTAGGTACCATGTCCTCCCAGTTAAAAGTGAAACAACTGTATCCCGGGTTCCAGAATTGGACCATGGCTCTAATCAATGGCTCATCAATCCTAACGTGAAGTAAAAGTGCAATGTCACCGTACCATTGGCTGAACTTCTGTTTCCGATCATTCTTCCAACTGTCCCAGATATCTTGAAGCTCCTGCACATTGTTCTGTTTTAGGCTGATAGATGCGTAGCTAACCAGCTCTGACACATAGCTTTCTTGAAGGTTGTCTCCCTTTTCTTTTTGAGTCTTCTCGGACCATAGTCATACCTCGGGGTTCTTAGTCTCTTGTATTACAACACCTTTGTCCATTAATTCAGATTATTTTGTGTAATAAACACCTTTTCAGGGATCAGTAACCTCTTGTTATGATGCAAAATGCTATAAAATAAACACAAAGGAAAAAAGGTTAGTAAAATAATAATATAAAAATAAATAAGTAAAATACACAAAAACAACAAGGTAAAAAAAATGTCATAGGTTTCGGAATGTGGTTTCGGGGTAGGCTTAATTTCTCCATAGTCTCCTGGGTTAGGTTCTAAAAAACGGTACCCGAGTTCTCCTTGTTGGTGCCCCATTGGGCCTACCAGACCTTTAGTCCTAAACCCATCACAGGCTTGTGTGGACTAAGTTAAACTCGAGAGGACACATTCCCTTATGCCCATACGGAGAATAAATTCACACGAAGGCATAAGGTATATGAATCCCGAAGGTTACTTGCTAGGCCCATATGATGAATAAATTCACACAAAGGCGTCACTTTCACCCCCACTTAAACGGGTTCGGAGCTCGGGTATAGAGCCTTTGGATGAAAAATCTTTAAGGGCTGAAATCATTAAAAAACGGTCAGTACAACTATTTACTCGAAAATATAATCAAAAGTAAGTAATAAGGATCGAAATGTTACCTTAAAATTTAAACTTACCCTTTTCGTTAAAAAGACAACTGGAAATTACCTTAGCCTGACTCACTTACCTGTGTCCCCAGTAGAGTCGCCAAGCTGTCGCAACCGTCTTTCAGTTGGGCCCTGGAATTGGGCTTCGACTTAGAAAAATGTGGATTGGAGTCGCCACATATCATTTATTTAAAAATAAATGGGTTGATTGGATACCCTATTTCTTACCTGATCTGCGTCTTACCATAAATATGTTGGGGTCGGGAGTCGGTTACGGTCAAGGAAGGATTAGCACCCTTGAACCGCCCTTTCGGTACTACGTAATTTCCAGTTGTCTTAATTAAGAAAAATAACAAGTTAAATTAAAAGGTAAAGTTTCGATCCTAATTACTTACCCTTGATTGATTTGAAAATATCCTTTAAAAAAATCGAAAAATGTGTTAGATAAACAAGGTAAAGAAAACAAATAAGATACAAGGGAAAAATAAAATAAATAAAATAAATAAGTAAGATAAGAAAAAAATAGTAAATTAATAATTATATATAGTAATATTAGATTTATAAGTAAAATATTAAAGAAATATATATATATAATAATAATAAAATATAGTAAAAAATAAATGAAAATAATTTAATATATATATACATATAATAATAATAACATGAATAATAAAAATAAATGAATAAAATATCAATATAATAAATAAAGGGACTAATATAGATTTTTAAAAAGCTCTTCCCCTCCTTTAACCGAAAATCAAACCGGTTTTTAAAAATAAGCCTCGTGGTAGATCTAGGTTCGAAACTTCGAAACCCCACCCATTTTGGTCATCGGCGCAACCCACGTTTTGAGTTATTCGAACCAAATCTCAAGAAAAATAACGTGCACATGCAAAAGAAAGAAAAAAAAATAAAATGCTACCTTTTATTTCCTTTTCGAATCCTTTACAATAGTTTTGCCTTTGTATATTCCCGTGCTTTCCTCTATGTTTTGTGTGTAAATCGTGTTACAATGGTGAGTTACAATGGCTATTTATAGTGCTTGTGGATCCTATCTTTAGGAATTTAAATCTTAGTAGAACTCTATCCTATTTTAGGAGTTTGAATCCTAGTAAAATTTTATCCTATTTTTAGGAGTTTGAATCCTAGTAGGACGAAAATGTGTGTTGACAATATCCTTTGGAACATCTATGAAGTCTTTTGAGACACATACTTGGTCCTTGGAATATGTATATGGATCTAAAAGAATTTTCTATGTGGTCCTTAGGGACATCTTATATGGCACTTCGGTGCATTTCTACGCGGCACTTAGGTGCAATTCTAGGTGGCACTTCGGTGCATTTATACGAGTTGTGGTGACAACATTAGTGCACAACCTCTATAGACTCACATATCTATAGTTCTCACATGTGTACATGGGCTAATAAAGAATATGATATAAAGGAACCTTGTATGATATTATGTGCTTTATTTGTAATCTTTATGGTGAAATGATATATGTGATATGATGGTGATGTGTATATAGCTTGGTTAAGACGAATATGTACAAGAACATATGACTAAAATATAAAGAAGAAAATAAGACTATTAAAGAGATCATGAGAAATTTACTACATACGCTTTATATGTTTTGTGTTAGGAAATATGTTACTGGAATTATGTGATGATATTGGTATTTCTTTGTGAAACAATATGTATGTATAGGACATATATATATATATATATTTATGTTTGGATGCATTTTATGGTTTATCATGATTACATGAAATGTGCATAATAGGAATTAGTTATGATATACTATAATCAGTTTATTTATGCCTCACTAAGTCATCGACTTAGCGTGTGAATGTTTCACACGTATGTTCTGGGAAGCTAGAAGAAAGGTTAAGAGGAGCAAGACAGGTCAGCATCTCCCTTACAAAATTTTAGATCAGAAAATAGAGGATTTAAATGACTTTGGTTATTTTGAATATAGTTGGCATGGACTATGAGTTAAATATACTCTGATTGATTTTGGTTATTGTGGTCAATTTATGTAACTAAATCGCTTTTACTTTAATGAAAGCTTTAAATTTTCTTTGAATTTTTTCAAGAGTCAAAGTTTGAAAAGTTAATGTGACACCTCAGACTCGTATCCGGGTCGGGTACGGGTTGGGGGTGTTACAAGAAGTGTCTAAGGCCGCACATCCCGCTTGATCTTAACTCTGATATTGCGACAATTGAGGCTTGAAGGTTATGATTTCGTGACACCTATGTCAATCACACGTCACTTATTTCCCCCTTACCATATAATGGCTAGTAAGAAAGTGAAAGAAAATGACATTAAAATATAATATTCTTTTTGGAATAATCATCAGTTTTTGATTTATTAATTGATTAATATGGATTTGGTACTGCAGAGGTAATGGCGACCCTCCCAACCTAGTTTATTTCATTCGCAAACGTTAGGATTCAAATCTCTAACCTTGCTTAAAAATTGTAGTGCCTCATCCCACTAGATCAACTGGTTGACATTAAAATAGAATATAAAAGCTCAAATATCCCACTATAAATAAAAGAAGAATCAGACCAATAGAACGTCGGTAAAGTAAAAACATATACTAAATGGAAAATTCTGCAGTGTATGTCGTATAACGAAACACATCACTAATGGGATGCATTGAAACACACTACTAACTAAATTGTCCTTATTAGGTAAATATTAAAGGGTAAACTACACATTTAGTACCTAAATTATCACTTTTGTTTTATTTTAGTACCTAAACTTTATTCTTCTTCAAAATCATACCTAACATTTAGTTTAAATTTCAATTTGGTATCGTTTAACAACAATACCGATGTGGCGTGACATAATAATTTTTTGTAATTTTCACATCACCTTTCTTTTTCTCCGTCAAATTTTTTACCAATTAAGTGGTGACACGTGTCATCACTTATGAGGATTTTATAATGATAGAAATCATTCTTGCTCCCATCATATATTAAACCAAGGACACTTGCATATGTAGTATGACACTCAACCATTGAGCTAAGCTAATCATTTGGTTTAATTTCTCCACATTTTGTATTTAACTTATAAATGGTATCATAATAAAATATATATTTTTGATGATTATAAGATTTGAAGCTTAGCCATTCAATTATAGTGTAAATCTTTTTTTATTATATTGAACTTAATACTTATTTATATAATTATTAAATTAAAAGATTAATTTTTCACTTTATTAGTGTCATAACTATTTTTTCTTTTTAAATTATTTTTGATTGGAAATAATTATGACTTTATTTTGAGAGACTGTGATTTTCGGTTTAACTTTAAATCGAGTCGCCATCGACCTTTTGTGTTAAGTAGGTCGAATACCCAAAAACGTCTTTAAAACAATTTAAGAAAATCATTTTTTAAGACAAAAAGCAGTATGCGTTAACCAGAAATTCATTTTTAAGGATTCAGAAGTCGGTTACACGTTGGGAATGATAATCATCCCCACAGCGCCCAAAATTGGTACCTCTTGATTTTACGTGGTTGAAAATTGTGAGATTTTACAAATTTGAACTTGAGATTTAAATTACAATCTTTTTCACTTATATGACCTTTTTTTTTAAAATGAGTGAATTCATTTAAAAAATATTTATCTCGATGTAGGGTTTAATTCACTCGATTTTATTTAAAAAGGATGTCCTCTTGCTACGTGAATTAACATAAATTAAAATCCAGTTATGCTAGACGTAATTTTGTTAACTCACGACGCAAGACAACATTGCATTGTACTCTTATGGAAAATGAATAAAGATAGAAGCAAAGTTATGAATGCACCCACTACATCAAAATAGGTTTTTAGTGGCATTTTTTAGTCATATAGCGTCGTTTTTAAGCGCTGCTAAAAACCTTTGTGGCACAAAAAAACGCCGTTAAAACAACCACTGCAAAAGTTAGCGGCGTTTTTCGTTCACAAACATCGCTAAAGGTTATATTTTTAGCGGCGTTTGGAAAAAAACTCTGTTATTTATCTTTTCTTTTGTGGTGTTTTATCCAAAAAAAGCACCGCTAAATGTTCTAACATATAGTGGCGTTTGTTTCCAAAAACGCCGCTACGCTAAATGGTATGTCATATAATAGCGTTTGTTCTTAAAAATGTCGTTATTGACTACGTATATAGTGGCGTTTTCTATATAAACGTCACAAAAGATCTAGAACTTTAGTGGCATTTTTCAAAAACACCGGTATTGACTATGTATTTAGTGACTTTTTTTATACAAACGCCACAAATTAAAACTAATTTTTCAAATGTTGTTTTCTACTCTTTTGTTACCCAAATGTAACCTGTAGCATTATCCAATAAACTTGACATCCATAACAACAAACTTGAAATCCATAATAAGAATCTTGAAATCCATAATAATAAATCAAAGTTTACATTAACGTATGTCGACACCGTTTTTTGCCTGGGCGGGGAAAGACCGATACCGACTCGGGGGTTTTCTCTTTGAAAATCGTTTCGAAATGTGAGGAGTCACCACCAATCATTTAAGGTGAGATTGGAACACCGTAAAAACCGGGTGATTTTAATAAAATGTTTTATTTTAATAAAATACTGAGTTTTAGGGTCTGTAAAAAATCCATAAATCAGGTTCGGGAGTTAGTTACGCGTAGGAAAGGATTAGCACCCCCACAAGCGCCCAAAAATTGGTACCTAGTTGATTACCCTATATTTAAAATCGAAAATTTTGAGTTCGATCTTTATTTAATTTAAAAATCATTAAGGATGAAAAGTTTGAAAAAGATATTCGTTTATTAAGACCGATAACATTCGCCCCTGAACGTAAATGCGAGAGATCAACTATTGTGTCCAATAACTGAACATTGCCTCAGTTTAGAAAACATGATAAGTTTTGAAAAGGATGTCGACTTATTTAGGGAATTACTATTACTTCCTTAATAACAGTGCCTTAGATT